CTTCACCTCGTGAGGGACCCTAAGATCCGCGGGGAAAGGACCCTGGTGGGCGGGGCGCGTAGCCTGACACAGGCTGCCCCTGGGGACGCTCAGGTCCTGCTCCAGGCCGTGTCTGTCCCCCCAGCGCTGACCCACAGGCCGGACATCCACCTCCAGGGGCCCCTCCAGTCCGGCCGGCCCAGGAACATCACCTGTGCGGCGCCCTGGGCCTGTGAGAGGGAGACACCCCCCACCTTCTCCTGGACGGGGGTTGGCCTCGGCGCCACGAGCACCGACTCCCCGGTGCTCACCCTCAGCCCGGGGCCCCAGCACCACGGCTCCAACCTCACCTGCCGGGTGACCTTCCCCGCAGTGAACGTGAGCACAGAGACCACCGTCCGGCTCAGCGTGGGCTGTGAGTGTGGGGCCCGGACGCCCGGCCTGACGGGTCCCCAGGGCAGCAGATGTAGGAAGGGAAGACACGGGGTCTGGGGTCTGGGCCCCGCAGATCCTGCCGGGAGGAGGGAAAGAGGCCCCTGGCTATATCCTCCCCGTCTCATGTTCCTGGGGGAAGGCCAGCTGACGGAGAACAATTCTGTCTGTCCAGGTGCGCCCCAGAACCTGACCATCCAGGTGATCAGGGAAGAAGGTTCAGGTACGGAGTGAGGGTCCCTCTCTGGGATGTGGGGAAGTGGGGTCTGTCCCACCCTCAAATCAGAGCTGGGGTCTGACAACACACATGGGAGAAAGGTCTTTGTCAGGAGGGGGTAGCAGAGGTGGGAACCCCCATGGGCTCTTCAGCTCACACATGGGCTCCCCTGTGCTGACCCTGCTCCCTGGGGTGTCCTGTGCTCTGTCCCTTGTCTGATGATGTGCTTGTCCCTGGTTCCAGGCCTACATCCTGCTCCCCAATTCTGCCCTCATGCTCCTTATGATCTGTCCTCCTCCTTAGCATCTCCCTCCTGCTATAACTTACTTTTTAAAATAATGACCATAAAGTTGGCCTGAGTCAGCAGGGGCTGCAGAACACAATGCCACACAGGAGGTGATCAAACCTCACAGGGTGAACCCTAATAAAGTCCTGAAATCTCTCTCCAGGGCCTGAAGCCCTGGGCAACGGCTCCTCTCTCCGGGTGCAGGAGGGCCAGTCCCTGCGCCTGGCCTGTGTGGTCCATAGCAGCCCTTCCGCCAATCTGACGTGGGTCGGGGGGAGCCTGACGGTGAAGTCCTCTCCAAGCCTAAACCCCGTGGGTGCGGTTGGCACGTGGGAGCACCCCCAGACCCTGGAGCTGGAGCTGGCCAGGGTGCGCCTGGAGGACCACGGGAAACTCCTCTGCCACGCTCAGAACCCCCTGGGCTCCCAGGAGGCCTCCCTGAGTCTCTCTGTGGAGAGTGAGTCAGCACCCCCGGGGCTTCTGCTTCCCAGGGAGGGGAGAGGCTGCCCTGATGCCCCCAACACTCCCCACAGCACCCCAGCTGCCTACAGAACCCACCCACCCATCTCATCTCTCCTCCCCTCTCTCAGCGAGTGCATTTCCATGAGCCCAGCTTTTCTGCTCTCACCCGGTCTCTGGTGAATTCCCTCACCCGGGCCCCTCTGGCCTGACCCGATTCTCCCCCAGACCCTGGAGAGAACTGGGTGCTCCCGGGCCTGGGAGAGGAGCAGCCTGGAGCCCTGGTGTCTGCTCAGGGCAGGAGTCACCCAGGCCTCTGTCTGCAGGCGCAGCGGGAGCGAGGACAGGGGGGCTTCTGGGGCCCTTGGTGGGACTGGGCGCCAAAGCCTTCATCTTGCTCGGCCTCGTCTTCCTCATGTGAGTCGGGGTCCACCTGAGGCCCTCACAGGCAGTGGGGGAGCTGGGGAGGGCGAGGAGGGGCACACTCCTAAGCTGCCAGCCCAGGGGTGAGTGTGCGTCTGTCCCCTGGGGTCTCTGCCCAGAGCAGTCCCCATGCGCCTCCCACAGCCCTCCAGGCCCCGGGTGAGCAGCTGGCTGAAGGGCCTGGTCTCCCTCCACAGAGTGAAGAGAATCAGGAAGAAAAGCACAGAAGGAGGCAGCAGGGAGCAGGCCAGGCCCCCAGGCCGCAGGGAGAACCCCCGGGGTGAGTGACTCAGGGTCTTCTGCAGGCTCAGGTCAGCCTGACCTCTGGGGCTGTGCCTGGGGCTCTGCTCCAGGGCAAAAAGGGTTCCCTGGTCACACCCCGTTCCTCCCCTGGCCTCCCTGAGCTCTTGACCCAGAGACTGAGCCTCCCTCACCCCCTCCCGGGACCCACCAAGTCCAGGTCAGTCCCCACCTTCCCCGCTGAGCCCTCTGAGCCCCGGGTTCTCTCAGGGTCCCTGGCCTCTCCCCACCGCCCCAGCTCCCCTACCCCAACAAGCTCTGGCAAGAAGCTCCCCGATAGCTGTCACTCAGCCCCAGCCCTGCCGCCCCCACATCCGGGTGGGCAGAAATACCCAGAGCCTCCTGCAGGGCTATCACTGTCCCGCGGGCACACTGCCCAGGAGGACAGACAGACAGACGCACGGATGTGGAGTCAGAGAGCCGGGTCCTCGGGTCCTGTGAGGAGAGTCTCCCCAGAGCGCCCCTTTCAGCAGCTGCGGAGAGTTCCCCCAGGCAGAGAGGCTGGGCACCCCCACAGGGCAGGGCATCAGATCACAGGGCCAGGGCGGAGGCAGTGCAGAGACAGGAGGGCTCTGCCTCTCCAGGGCCTCGGCCTCGGGCTCCTCCGTGTGCAGCATGAGCTCCTGCTCCTCCCGTGCTCCCTGGGCCGGACCTCGGGGTGGTTTCTATGTGGGGGCTCCCCGGGTAGATCTGAGGGGCCCGGGACTGTCCGGTGACCCCAGGCTCCGGGTCCCCCCGGGGCTGCGCCTCCGCACACGTCCCTCTGCAGCTCGTTCCCGCCTGTGCTCCTGCCCCTGGGACCCTCCCCGGGGTGTCACCAGGAGCCGCCATCAGTGTCCCCCAGAAGGGAGGTGGGGGTTCAGACCAGGGACAGGAGATCATGGAGATATGTTAAGGTGTGAGTGAGTGTGTGTGCGTGTGAAGGACCCTCAGGCGTGGGTGTGACTGGACAAGGGAACAGACACCCCTGAGCCCAGGTCCCTTCTCCAGACCCCGAGGCTGACCCTGAGCCTTATCTCGTCCCTCTCAGGGTCACCAGGACGGACCCTAGTCTGACAGCCCCCTGCACCCCTGGAGCCCAGCGGTGTCCCCTTCAGAGAAGGAGCAGGAGCTGCATTATGCCTCCCTTATGCTCCCCAAGGCGAGCCCCAGGGCCCCTCAGGTCCAGGAGGCCTCTGAGTTCGCCCAGGTCAAAGGAGCCGCCCCCCCCCCCCCCCGTCCCCCTCCCGACGCTGGAGAGCTAAAAAGGCCTCTCTGAGGACAGCGGGTCCTGCGCTCCCTGCAGAGCTGCCGCCTCAGCGAGGTCAGAAAGGCGAGCTCGGGGCTCCTGGGACAGATGGAGCCGGAGCTCCCGGGTCACGCCCAGCCCAGCCGCTTAGACACGCGTCCCCGTCACTCTCCGGCCTCAGTTCCCTCCGCTGTAAAGTGGGCGCATGTGCACAAGGCGGGAAATGCACCCCGTGTTGCCCACTGGTCAGCTCCCCCCTCCCCCGCGGCCCTTCTGCTTGGCTGTTAGGGAGCGTGTGGAGGTCCCAGTGTGACTCTGTTCCTCAGGGTCACTCTCTGGGGAGACCAGTTTCCTCATCCAGCTAAACATGCACATGAACCCCGGGCTGGGCTCTGAGGCCTCCCCAGTGTCTCAAGGACAGAGAAGGGGTGACAGCCTCAGGGTTGAGGCCGTGGCTAGTGAGAGGCGTCCCCGGACAGGCCTGTCCAGCGTGAGCCTGAGCAATGACAGGGACCCGCTAAGCAAATAATTATTACCGGGTCTCAGGCCTGGAGCAGTGACAGGCCAATATAAATTTTTTTGAAATAAATTTTATTTTTATGTTCCCCATACAATTGCAACACCCTTATTTTGACCCCAGTTCCTCCCCTCTCCGCCCTCCCACCCTCCATAGAGTGTCTCTGGTTCATAGCTTTTTGTTGATTTTGATTTTCACTTTCTTATACTTTTAATGACCAACTTTGCTCCCTGAACACATCTGTCCTTAGAAGCTTTATGACTAACAGTGACATTTCCACAGGGTGGGGCAGCGGCCACGCTGGTCTGTCCTCAGGGCCCTTCTGATGCCGCTTCTCTCCCCTGCGCTGTGCCCTGTCCGGGGCCTTGGAGCAAATGGTTGTGCCTGATGAAAAGGAAGCTGTCCATGTACCTCCATGACGACACTCACGTATAAAAGGAACCCTTTGCCTTGAACCTGAGCTCTGACCCCACGGGGCTACCCCGGTGTGGCCCCCACGCAGGGTAATAAAGTCTCCCGACCTCAGCGTCCTGAAGTGCCGCTTGCGCTGCCTCTGCCTCCGCCGGAATTTCCACAGCACAGGAGGCCCCGAAGGAACCTCTAGGAGCCCCAAGAGCCGGGCCAGAGGGGACCCGGGAGGGGACAGGAAGCTGCTCCTGGAGGTTCAGCCTTTCAGTTTGGCCAAATGAAAACCTTTCGGAATCTGGGGGCGACTGTGGGCCTCTGGTTACCCCAGAACCACACAAATGATGATGTAGGAAAGATGATTGGTTTTTCCCCTTTATTTTTTTTTATTTTAATTTATTTATTCAAGAACTGGGTACAGGGCAGAGGCGCAGAGGGTGAGAGGATTCACCAGAGGCAGAGCGGGGAGAACAGGCAGATGACCGAAAACACTGCTGAGGGGCAAGGCGGGTGACTCAGGAGAGGTCTGCTGCGCCACGTGGGTAGCTCCCTGGCCGGGGATCAAACACGCACTGCAGAGGCTGCGGGCAGCTTCACAGCCCTGCGCTCAACCTGCTGTGCTGCTGGGGAAGCCCACATTTTCCCCTAATTAAGCAAAGCAAGAGCTGGGGGTGACCAGGCCTGGGCCGGGCGCCGGGCGGGAGTCACAGTTCCCGGGCAGAGACCCAGGGCAGGACGGCAGAAGGGTCTCGAGATGGCGGAGGTGTGACGGCGGGACCAGACGTGCTGGGCCTGCGGGGACACGTCACCACGCTCAGTGCCGGCTGCTTGTGTCTCAGCACCCCAAAATGTTTGCTGCGAGAGAGCAAGTGTGGGTGCGGATGGGGACCGGCTCGCGGAGCTGCCAAACCGCGTGGAAACGTGGGGGCTGCGGGGACGCGGAGACAGTTACCCCAGGCCGAGCGGTCACGCTCCCCGGCCCTCGAGCACGACAACAAGAGGGAAGGGACGAGGTGTTGGGGTGAACGTCTTCCGGCCCCAGGAGCACCCCAAGGCTCAGGCTCACACTCCCCACGCGACGTGACTTGTGTGTCTGTCACAGACCATCAGATCCATTTCCTGCAGACTCTCAGCCCCGGGCCCCGCCGCACACTCTGTCTGGCCTGTGTCCTCACACCCCGGCCATGGACACGGCCCCGACCTGGCCTGGACCCCAGTCTCAGCCCTCAGCCCCGTGTCTCTGGCTGCTCCTCCACAACCACTGAGGGGGGCCCTTCTTGAATGGGGGAGTCAGCTCCTCCTCCCGCCTCCCAGGGCTGGGAGCTCCCCTGGCCAATGTTGAACACCCCAAGGCCGACGACCAGGATGCTCAGAGCCCAAGGCCAGCGTGAGTTGCTTCAGCCCTTTCCCGGGATGCTGGGAAGATTCTGGAACATGATAAAAGGAATATTACTGCATCTAAATTTAAAGAAACTGGGCCTCCCCGGTGGCGCAGCGGTTGAGCGCTGGGTTGCGAAGCTGCCCTCAGCCTCTGCTGCGCCAGTTCGATCCCCGGCCACCGGGCGAGGGTCCTGCATAGCGCACAGACCTCTCCTGCTGCCCGCTGCTCCCCTCAGCAGTGTACTTTGTCATTCTGCCTTGTACTGTTCCCCGCTCTGGCTCTGGTGAATTTTCTCCCCCTCCCGCACTTCTGACTGTACCCAGAGCTTGTATAAATAAATAAATGAATCTTTAAAAAAAATAATAAATAAATTTAAAGAAACTATAAATGGTATTTTAAAATTTAAATGACATTATAAAATTAGTTACAATGTAATTATATATGCAACATAATTTGTATATTTAATTTAAATATTATATTAATATTTTTAGTCACGTTACATTTCGAGCTAGTAAGCAATGTTTGTAGTTTTAATATAAATATTAAAATAATGAGCTCATCTACTGTAAATGGCCATAGAGTGATTCTGATGTTTTGTGCAACCTCAGCCCCACGGCCATGGTTCCTGTTGAACAACACAAGGTCTGGGGCCTCCCCGGGGGCGCAGGGGTGAAGACGCAACCCATGAGGCTGTCCGAGCCGCTGCAGCTCGACTTCCATCCCCAGCCAGGGAGCTGCCCACAAGGCGCAACAGACCTCTCCTGACTCCCCGCTGCTCCCCTCGGCAGGGGATTTCAGCAGATCTGCCTGTTCTGCTCCCCGCTCTGTCTCCGGGCAACACGTGTCACTCCCCACATGGCACCTGGTTAGGAGATGCGTCTTCTCACCTGGCCTCGCCCCTCCACCCGTCCCGTGGGAGAAGCCACAGAGAACTCTAAGCCCCAGACCCCACGGCTGTGCTGCTCTGTGAGAGATGCGGGTCCCCAGAGGAAACAGAGGCTCCCTCAGCATGAGCACGAGCTGTTACAGCGTCTGACTGTGCCAGAGACGCTGCAGGGCCCAGACACACCAAGCCACAGCCCCGGGGCTCTGGGAAGGCGGGATTGACCCCGACCCCAAGGGGGCACCCCGAGTCTGCGGGAAGCACCACCCCACCCTCATGTGGGACTGTCCACAGGCCAGGGGAGAACTGGGATCCTCCCTGGGACGGCCGAGGACACTGAGGCCTGGCGGGGACAAGGGCTCGTCCCTCCTGACTCCAGAGCCCCGTCCCCATCATCATGCTGTCATGATGATGATGATGATGATGATGATGATGATGATGATGATGATGATGACGACGACGATGACTGAGTCTCAGTCCTGCTCAGCCCGTCACACCGGGGTCCTGGGGCAGAGCACCCAGTTCAGGAGGCCCCAGGACCACTTGTCCCCTCAGGGTCCAGGCCCCATCCTCCTCAGCCCGTCCGTCCCAGGCCCCACCTTGTGGGTTCCTACAGGGCCTGCCTGGACAACCTCTTCCCACCTGAGGCCACAGCAGCTGCAAAGGCCTCTGAGCCCTTCCGGCGGGCGTCAGTCAGGCACCTTCTCAAGCACAGAGGCGAGCCGCCCCCTCTCCTGAAAGTGACACAGTGCAAAGGACCCGTGTCTTAGACAGGCGTGAGCAACTTGTCTTTTCCCCATTGCTTGCAATTTCCCCTTGTCTGGCAGGGCTGTCTGCAGGTAAGACGCCTCCTGCATTTCAGGAAGACGGTGTTGACACAAACTGGCGCCTCCTGCAGACCCCGTCCCCTTCCTTTGCACACCCTCGCCCATCTCCCAGTTTTTCCCTTTGTGTAAAGACCCTGCGCCCTGCCCAGGAGCAGGACGGCTGTCTCTCAGACATGAGGCTGCTGCCTCCTCCGCTGTCCACAAATTAAACCACTTCCCTTTCCTCAAAGTCCGTTTCCTTTTACTGGCTGAGGGAAATGGAGGCCGGAGTTCGCTCACAGAAGGAGCAGATGCCCCCAAGGCCAGGTCATTTATCACCACCACTTCCCTCCTCCGCACCCCACCATCTCTAACGCCTGCGGGTGCCCCCTCTTGTGCCCACACCAGGGGGTGGCCCCTGGGGACTCCTACAGGACCTACGTCCCGCTGTGCAGGGAGCTGAGAGCTGCAGGCGGGTCCTCCTGCCCCACGACCCTCAGTGACCCGGGACGAGAAGTGTCTACGCAGCCTGGCCTGGCGCACAGTGTGGGAAGCTCCTCCCTGTGGTCAGCTCATTTTGACCGCCCCATCTTGACTCCATCGGGGCTTCCTCAGCCTGTGCCCCCAGATCCGCCACTCCCCGCGATGCTGCCACCGCTGCTGCTGCCCCTGCTGTGGGCAGGTGAGTGGGGGAGGGGAGGGGCCCGGGTGGGGGCTGCACTGACCCTCGTCTCCCCGCAGGGGCCCTGGCTCAGGAGGAGAGATTCTGGTTGCGCCTGCAGGAGGAGCGGGTGACGGTGCAGGAGGGCCAGTGCGTCCTCGTGCCCTGCAACGTCTCCTACCCCAAGGAGCACGGCCCAGCTTACGGCTACTGGTACAGGGACAAGGGAGAGTGTCAGGGTACACAGGGTGACCTGGTGGCCACAAACGACCCAAATGGAAAGGTGCATGAGACCCAGACCCCGCAGCGATTCCACCTACTGGGGGGCCCCTGGAACGACAGCTGCTCCCTGGACATCAGAGACACGCGGAGAGGGGACACGGGGACCTACTACTTCAGGGTGGAGAGAGGGGGTCATGTGAGACATAATTACTGTGATCAGCGGCTCTCTGTAAACGTGACAGGTAAGGGCCGGGTGCAGGAGGGACACACGGGAGGGTCCTGAGCGCCCGGCCGAGGATGGAGGGGCCCCATGTCTTCACCTCGTGAGGGACCCTAAGATCCGCGGGGAAAGGACCCTGGTGGGCGGGGACGGGTGGCCTGACACAGGCTGCCCCTGGGGACGCTCAGGTCCTGCTCCAGGCCGTGTCTGTCCCCCAGCGCTGACCCACAGGCCGGACATCCACCTCCAGGGGCCCCTCCAGTCCGGCCGGCCCAGGAACATCACCTGTGCGGCGCCCTGGGCCTGTGAGAGGGAGACACCCCCCACCTTCTCCTGGACGGGGGTTGGCCTCGGCGCCACGAGCACCGACTCCCCGGTGCTCACCCTCAGCCCGGGGCCCCAGCACCACGGCTCCAACCTCACCTGCCGGGTGACCTTCCCCGCAGTGAACGTGAGCACAGAGACCACCGTCCGGCTCAGCGTGGGCTGTGAGTGTGGGGCCCAGATGCCCGGCCTGAGGGGTCCCCAGGCAGCACATGTAGGAAGGGAAGACACGGGGTCTGGGGTCTGGGCCCCGCAGATCCTGCCAGGAGGAGGGAAAGAGGCCCCTGGCTGTATCCTCCATGTCTCATGCTCCTGGGGGAAGGCCAGCTGACGGAGAACAATTCTGTCTGTCTGTCCAGATGCGCCCCAGAACCTGACCATCCAGGTGATCAGGGAAGAAGGTTCAGGTACGGAGTGAGGTTCCCTCTCTGGGATGTGGGGAAGTGGGGTTTGTCCCACCCTCCATTCAGAGCTGGGGTCTGACAACACACATGGGAGACAGGTCTTTGTCAGGAGGGGGTAGCAGAGGTGGGAACCCCCATGGGCTCTTCAGCTCATACATGGGCTCCCCTGTGCTGACTCTGTTCCCTGGGGTGTCCTATGCTCTGTCCCTTGTCTGATGATGTGCTTGTCCCTGGTTCCAGGCCTACATCATCCTCCCCAATTCTGCCCTCATGCTCCTTATGATCTGTCCTCCTCCTTAGCATCTCCCTCCTGCTATAACTTACTTTTTAAAATAATGACCATAAAATTGGCCTGAGTCAGCAGGGGCTGCAGAACACAATGCCACACAGGAGGTGATCAAACCTCACAGGGTGAACCCTAATAAAGTCCTGAAATCTCTCTCCAGGGCCTGAAGCACTGGGCAATGGCTCCTCTCTCCCGGTGCAGGAGGGCCAGTCCCTGCGCCTGGCCTGTGTGGTCCACAGCAGCCCTCCCACCAATCTGACGTGGGTCTGGGGGAGCCAGATGGTGAAGTCCTCTCCAAGCCTACACTCCGTGGGTGCGGTTGGCACATGGGAGCACCCCCAGACCCTGGAGCTGGAGCTGGCCAGGGTGCGCCTGGAGGACCACGGGAAACTCCTCTGCTGCGCTGAGAACCCCCTGGGCTCCCAGGAGGCCTCCCTGAGTCTCTCTGTGGAGAGTGAGTCAGCACCCCCGGGGCTTCTGCTGCCCAGAGAGGGGAGAGGCTGCTCTGATGTCCCCATCACCCCACAACACCCCCTCATCCCTCCCCTCAGTGCCCCCACCCCCCAGCTGCTGGGCCCCTCCTGCTCTGCTTTAGCCCCGTGGGACCCTCCCTGTGCTGGCGGCTGGGGGAGCAGCAGAAATGCCTTCACCCAGGTCATCTTCAGCCTCTCGGGGCTCTGGGCCAACAGCTCCCTGTGCCTCGGCGGGTCTGAGATGTGAGGCCGGGATGCTCTTGGGAACGGGGATACCTCTGTCCCCTTCTCCCAGGTGGGCTCGTCCGGGGGAGAGCACAGGACTCTGCTTTCTGGGGACACAGAGGGAGGAGGCCTGCCTCGCAGCCACGGGACACTGTTCGGGGTCCTCCTCACCTCTGTGAGGGGCAAAGTCCAGAAGGGAAGTGGGCACTCACGGGTCGTGGAGTCCACTGGCCTAGGTGCCCGGCACCTGCTGAGGGAACTCGGGGTCACCCAGGTCCTCTGTTGCAGGGGCACCAGGAACCTGGATGTGGTTCATTCTGGGGCCGTCGGGGGAGCAGGAGTCTCAGCCCTGCTTGGGTTCTGCCTCGGCATCCTCATGTGAGTCGGTGTCCCTTGAAGACCTTGAAGCCTGGGAGGGGGCTGGGGTGGTGGGAGGAGGGGACAGGAAGAGGCCAGAGCTCCCTGCCCAGGGCTGGCGCCCTGAGAGGTGAGTCAGGGGCTGTGATGCTGAAACGCCCCAGTGAGTCTGCCCCCTGGGGTCTCTGCCCAGAGCAGCCCCCACCCACCCCCACCTCCCAGTTGAGCACTGGCTGAAAGGCAGGTCTCCTCCACAGAGTGAGATGCTGCTGGAAGAAAGGGACCCAGGAGGCAGCAGGGAGCAGGCCAGGCCCCCAGGCCGCAAGGAGAACCCCCGGGGTGAGTGACTCAGGGTCTTCTGCAGGCTCAGGTCAGCCTGACCTCTGGGGCTGTGCCTGGGGCTCTGTCCAGGGCAAAAAGGGTTCCCTGCTCACACCCCGTTCCTCCCCTGGCCTCCCTGAGCTCTTGACCCAGAGACTGAGCCTCCCTCACCCCTTCCTGGGATCCCAAGTCCAGGTCAGGGCCCCTCAGGGCAAATCTTTTCCTTCCCATCCCCCTTCCCCACTGAGCCCTCTGAGCCCCCGGTTCTCTCAGGGTCCCTGGCTCCCCCCCACACACCACGCCAGCTCCCCTCCCCAAACAAGCTCTGGCAAGAAGCTCCCCAACAGCTGTCACTCAGCCCCAGCCCTGCCGCCCCCACATCCAGGTGGGGCAGAAATGCCCGGAGCCTCCTGCAGGGCTATCACTGTCCCGCGGGCACTTTAAAAAGTGGACACACAAGGTCAATTTTAATATAATAATTTATTTCACCCAGGTCCACAAATATCGTTCCCAACATTACATCTGTATTCAGTGTTCTAGTTGTGAACGAGGTGACTTTTTTTTTCCGTGTAAGTCTGTGAGAAACAGGCTCACGTCAGGCGTGCAGGCTCCATTCTGATGCCCACATCTCCTGTCCTCGCTGGCTGCACGGGTCTAGGCACTGACCACAGGTCCACATTCCTGTTCCTTCTCCTGTGATTAGTCGGCCACCCAGGCCACTGCGCTGCCCTCACACCCCAACTTGCAATTAGAGAAGCTTGTGTGGGGATCAGGGGATGCCCCCCCTTGGCCTGCAGGCGCCCCAGGTCTGGTCTGTGTGCTGGGGAGCATGGGGCACTCCTGTGTCTGCATGTCTTAAAATGGGGCGATGATGACATCACCCAGGCAGGGGTGGGGGTTCAGGAGACTAGTGATAAGAACAAGCCATTATGATGAGAATCTGTTAGAGGTGAGAATGGGTGAGTGTGTGAGTGAGTGTGAGTGTGTATGAGTGTGTGAAGGACCCTCAGGAGTGGGTGTGACTGGACAAGGAAACAGATACCGCTGAGCCCAGGTCCCTTCTCCAGACCCTGAGGCTGACCCTGAGCCTTATCTCGTCCCTCTCAGGGGCACCAGGGTGGATCCTGGGCTGACAGCCCCCCACGCCCCCAGGGCCCAGCGGAGGCCCCCTCAGAGGAGGAGCAGGAGCTGCATTACGCCAACCTCGCATTCCTCAAGGCAAGCACCAGGGCCTTTCTGGTCCAGGAGACCCCTGAGTACGCCGAGGTCACCGTCCGACATGGAGCCGCCCTCTCCTGACACCTTCCCGACGCTGGAGCCCCAAAAAGGCCTCTCTGAGGACAGCGGGTCCTGCGCTTCCTGCAGAGCTGCCGCCTCAGGGAGGTGAGAAAGGCGAGCTCGGGGCTCCTGGGACAGATGGAGCCGGAGCTCCCGGGTCACGCCCAGCCCAGCCGCTTAGACACGCGTCCCCGTCACTCTCCGGCCTCAGCTCCCTCCGCTGTGAAGTGGGCGCATGTGCACAAGGCGGGAAATGCACCCCGAGTTGCCGACTGGGCAGCTCCCCCCTCTCCTCTGCGGCCCTTCTGTTGGCTGTTTTAGGAGCGTGTGCGAGTTCACAGTGTGACTCTGTTTCTCAGTGTAACGCTCTGGGGAGACCAGTTTCCTCATCCAGCTAAACCTGCACATAAACCCCGGGCTGGGCTCTGAGACCTCCCCAGTGTCTAAAAGGACAGAAGTAGGGGTGAGATCGCCAGTGTCGCTAAGTGAGATGAGTCCCCCCAGACAGGCCAGCACCCCGTGAGCTGCAACAGGAGGCCCTGGAGGAACCAGCCCTTAGAGCCGGGGCCAGACCGGACCCGGGAGGGGACAGGAAGCTGCTCGTGGAGGTTCAGCCTTTCAGTTTTGCAAAATGAAAACCTTCTGGAATCTGGTGGGTGACCGTGGGCCTCTGGTTACCCCCGAAGCACATACTGGAAAATGCCGAGGTGGTAAATGTAATTTTTTCCCCTTAATTAAGCAAAGTAATAGATGGGGGTGACCAGGAATGGGGCTGGGGCCCCTCAGGGGAGCTCATAGTCAAAGGCTAGAGAACCAGGTTAGGCCACAGCAGCCCCCCATCCCCACCCCATCTCTGGCTGCTCCTCCCACAGACCACTGAGTAGGCCACTTCCTGAATCGGGGAGTCAGTTTCTTCTCCCATCCCCCTTTCTCCTGGCCCACTTCTAGGAGTCACCAAGTCCCTCACCTCCCCCCTTCTCTCCACCCCTAGTTTAGACCCTCCCCCCCCACTCCTGACCTTTCAAACAGCACCCCCCAGGCTCAGGGCCTCAGGCTCACTTCTTCCAGCCTATCCTCCCCTTCAGCTGCACAGGGAGAGGTCGCAAATGCTCACCTCCCACCTGCTAAGCATCCTTCCACGCCTGCCCCTGCAGTGCAGCTGCATTGTCAGCTCCAGTGAGCCTTATTCCAGAATGTTCACAATCTCACCACCATCCACCTCCCCTCCCCCCCAACCCCCACCCCCCCAGCCCCCCGCCTCTGGGCCACCACCTCTCACACACCTCGGCGGCACCCCAGCCCATTCCCGAGGATCTCACCCTCCTTCCCGCCTCTCCATTCCTCCCCCGTGTGGTTCCACCCACGGCAATGTCCTCTCTCCATGTTTGCCTCACAAGGTTGTCCTTGGAGCCCCAGCTCAGGCGGCTCCTGCTCAGGCCTGTGCACTCCCTGCCTCACCCCTGCTGCGCTTCTCTAAGGGCTGGACAGGACCGTGACTGTTAATCTCCCTGCTGCTGCTAACTGACCTTCTAGAGCAAAATGATTCTTTGGGGGGCGCTAAGATATGCCAGGTGTCAGAGAGGTGCAGCGAGACCTCAGACTGCGAGCCCCGGGACTAGGGCCTCCTTCTGCCCTCACAGACCAGCCAACAGAATGACCACCGGGCTCCAGTTCTTCTTTTCAAGTCGCCATAAACACCAGGCCTTCGCTCAAAACAGTAGTTTCAAAGCAGTAATGGACATTTCAGTTCCTTTGCATCGTGTTCATGGAGGGACCCTTGGGAACACCCTCATTTTCTCTCCATTCTTTGTTCTCCAAACTCTTACTGCAAGCCAGCCACAAAGGGGGATGTCCAGTGTCAAAGGAACGAAATTCACACGGTGGGAGGTGGGGAGGAGACAGAAACGTGTAACCTCGTAAAACACAGTGTGGTGCGGCTCTGTATCGCTCCAGGACTAGAGCTGTGACTCTGCCCTGGGGTGGGGAGGGAGTTAGGAAAGGCTTTTCAGGGGAAGCTCCCATTGGGGTGCACACCGTGGAGAAAGCAGGAGTTGAACAAGCAAAGAAGAGAAGCATCCCAGATAGAGGTGGCGACAGGCACAAAGCAAGGAGCTGGAAGAAGTCTGGTGTTACCTCATACGCCTGGGCCGTGGCAGCAGGTGTCTCGGCCAAGGAGACAAGTGCGGGTCATGCACCAGTAGAACTCGGGCTGGGGTCTGCTCTCCCAGGGCCCCGTAGCCAGGCTGGGGGACTTGATTCTTCAACTTGCCACATCAAAAATAAATTTGGGGGCCTCCCCGGTGGTGCAAGGGTTAAGATGCAGCACTATGAAGCTATCTGCAGCCACTGCGGCACGAGTTCGATCCCCGGCCAGGGAGCTACCCACAGGGCGCAGCAGACCTCTTCTAGCTCCAGGCTGCTGCCCTCAGCAGTGTTTTCATTGGATCCACCGGTTCTGTTACCCACTCTGTCTCTGGCGAATCCTCTCACCGACCCCCCTGTAGGGTAAAGAAAATATCAGGCTTTTCTGCCCTTCCGCCATCAGGATAGATGATGGATCCTTGTCCTGAATGCATGCCTGATGGCGGGCACCTGGAATAGGGTGTGGGCATAGGTAGATGGGATTCAGCTGAGTTAAGACTGTGCTTTTAAGGGCGGCATCACGGGGGGACGCCAGCAGCCCCAGCCAGCAGCAGCAGAACCTGAAGGAGAAGCCGAAGCAGAAGCAGAGAACGCCAGAGAGCTCAGATAGAGTAAAGACTTGCTGGGGGGCTGGGAGGCTGGCAGGCCTCCCAGCCCCCCAGCCAGCACCCCTGCCTGCCATATGCCTGGTGAACCCCAATAAAAGACCTGCAAAACCACTGAGGACTCTGACTCCTCCTTTACCCGGTCTGCATGATCCCAGAAAACCTGCACTGTGCCCGGTCCGGCCCTTACACCCCCCCAACACACACCCCTCTGGCCTGCACCCCAGTGCTTGTGTGCATAAATAAGTAAATCTTTAAGAAATTTTTTGAAAAAAAAATTTTTTTCAAACAAACCACCTAACTTTAGACATTAAAGAAGAACAAAATAAACCAAAGGCGACAGAAGGAAGGAAATAATAAAGATAAAAATGGAGATAAACAAAAGCCAACAGAAAAGCAAAAAGCAAATTCAACAAGAACACAAGTTGGCGCGTGGAAGGGAACGCTCGCTACTGATTGGTTGAACCTCGCCAGCTCACCCCGCCCTCCCGCGCGCAAAGGGAGGCGGAACATGCGCTGTCCGCTTCCAATTGGCTCCCCTGGCTGTGCATCAGCTCCAGCTGCCTCATTGATTGGCTGTAACAAGGCGTGTGTGCAGCCACGGATTGGTTGCCGCCAACACGCATCTCGCGAGGCGGGCTGAGGAGACCAGGTGATTCCCCCTGTGTGGCACGCCTGCGGCCATCGCGCATCCTCCCCCATCGCCGCTGGCCGAGGCTGGCTGGCCCTCTCGTGGCCACGCCTGGCCTGTGGGCCTGCTTGGCCATCCCTGGGTGTGGGTCTTGGGCCGGAACCGCCTCAACGGGGCTTCCATGCCTGGGGTTTCTCTGTCAGTCAGCGTGGCCTCGGGCGGGTCGGCCACGTCACTGCCGCGCCGGCGCCGCTCCCGCCTGGGCGCCCCGGGAGCCCCGTGGTCGCCCAAGCCGGTCTGGGTCAGTCGGCAGGCCCGGCCTCCTCAGGGCCAGTCGGCCCCCGGTGGGCCACCGTCGGCCCCCTGGTCAAGGTGACGGGCAGCGCGGGTCACCCGCTTACCGAGAAGGCGCCCGAGTGGCCTGGTGATGGATGGTCAGGTCGGGCCCTCCGACGTCACGGGCCTCGTAGTGCTTGGGCCATTCGAGCAGGTAATCTCCCCTTTAGTCCATTCATGGGGATCCCCCAGAAGGCACCCGTCAGGGGACAGCCTGCCCAGGCTTGTGAGCCAGCTGGTGGGTCTGACTGTCAGGCCTCAGTTTCCCTAGAAGCCAGCCTCCCGGCCTGCCGCGCTGGTCAGTCACCCAAAGGGCCCAGCCCTGGCGAGTCTGGGGGCGCCGGGCACCGCCGGCTGCTGAGGACGGACGCAGAGGGTGCGCTGGGGCCGGGAGGCGCCCGAGCCCTTGGAACCAGCCTCCAAGGTAATGCTGAGAGAAGTGAGGAGCCTAGAAAATTTGGGGAAGAAGAATAAAAAGGGGGGTGCACGAGAAGGCACCCCAGCTGACTGAAGCCTGGCAGGCAAGAGCAAGAAGTGAGGATTTTGGCGCTGGATGGATGGGTCCCGGCCCGCAGTACAGCCTGCTCGCGTCATGGAGGGAAACTTCTGACCAGGGCTGTTCAGTGAGGCCAGCCTGGGTTCACCCCGGCACCCAGCGCGTGGCTTTAAATCTCAGAAGGGGAAAGGCTGATGTGTGGTCAGAGGAGGGTTGGGGCACAGCCCACGCACAGGGGTCCTGGAGGAAACCTGTGGATGCGGAACAGGAAAGCCGAGAACTGATTCTAGAACCACCAAATGGCTGGGGAGGGATTGCAGGAGGTCAGGAGTCCCAATTCAAATGCAGTCGTTTGATAAATTGTAACTGATAGTAATATCAGTTTATCACTTTGATAGCAGTAGCTAATTGGTTGTAAATTATCAATTTGATAATAGTAACAATTAGTTATAAATAGTAACTAATTTAGGAGGGTGTGTCCTCCCCTCACCCCACAGGCCCTTTCTTTTCACTCATTTCATCCTCACTGCCCTGTGACCTGGGCCCTGTTATCATCCCTGTTTAAATACGAGGACACACACACACACACAAAATAAATACGAGGACAGCGAGGCCTCAGGAGGGAGAGGTGGAGCCGCATGTCATCATCGCAGAGCCAGCCAGCACCACTCTGAAAAAGTGGAAAATAATTCTTTAAAAAAAATTAGCTGAGGGCCTCCCCGGTGGCGCAGCGGTTGAGCGCTGGGTTGCGAAGCTGCCCGCCCCTCTGCAGCGCCAGTTCCATCCCCGGCTGCTCCCCAGCCACTGGAGGAGGGGCCCACATGGCGCGCAGACCTCTCCTGCCGCCCGCTGCTCCCCTCAGCAGTGTGCTTCGGTCCTTCTGCCTGCTCTGCTCCCCGCTCTGGCTCTGGTGAATTCTCTCACCCTCCCGCACTTCTGACTGTACCCAGTACTTCTATAAATAAATAAAAAGAAAAATAAATCTTAAAAAAAAAAGTTAAAAAAAATTAACTGAAAGTTTGAATTTTTTGTGAAATATACATGTTTTAATAGGTTGTCTTACCAAGACTGACTAGCAAAAGTGCACATTTAGTAGGCCCAACAGCCTGTTGATATGTCACGTTCAACTCTGGTACCACTAGTTGGCAATCCCTGAATCATCTTCCAGAAAGGGGAGACAAACATTGGGTCTTCTGTCTTCCGGGCCTCTTCTAAGAAGAATCTAGAACCCTTCTGAAAGGAGGGAAGAAAGAGGAGAAGGGAGAAAGAAGCAGGTTGTATGTTCCATCAGGTCATAGCTGTGAGCTCACTGCTGTGCAGTTGCCAACTATTTCCCTATGTATTTCACCAACCCTGGGAGGTGGGAGAGCTGATTTATTCCCATCTTTTATTCAGGAGGATGGATTCTCCGGGCTTACGCTGCAGTTTTTAAGAGAAGATGGTGTCAAGGAGAGGACACTGCTGAGATTCAGGTTGAGTCTGGAATTTGTCAGCCTTGGGTCGATTGCCAGACTTGTCTGTGCTTTAGTTGATTGGATTCTTCCTTTTTCTTCACCAAGGTGAAGGTGTCAAGACTTTCCATGCGCCGTCTTCTGTGAGGTGTTGGCGATGAGATGTGTCTCACAGCATGGTTGAGAGGATTAGGACAACATCTCTCAAGCTCTAGAGTTGTAAATGGCAACTGTAGTCTCCCATGAGATGGTAAGTGAAAAAGGAGGTGCCTGTATGTAGCTCTATGGCTCTGACTGATGGCTCGTGACCAGGGGTTGAAAATAACCAGCCCATCAACTGACAAATGGATCAACAAAAGGTGGTATATCCATACAGTGGAGTATTAGTCGGCAATAAAAATGATAGGGATACTTATTCAGGATGAATGCGCCTTGAAAACATGCCAAGTCAAAGAAGCAGACAGGGAAGACCACATAATGTATCATGTCCTTTCCATTAAGTGTCCAGAATGGGCAAATACAGAGTTACCTAGAGTATCAGTAGCTTGGTGGTGGCCTAAGACTGGGGAATGGGTGTTGTAGGGCTTAGTAATTGTTAGTGGACATTTGGTGTATCTAGGAGTGACGAGAATATTCTGGAATTAGATCATGGCGATGGTTGCACACCTTTACAAATATGCTAAAAATCGAAGCGTACACTCGCAAAGGGTGAGTGTTACCGAACGTCAATTAGTGTTCCATTTTAAAGGCTCCAGGTGGGTGATTTGGTGAGTTCTAGCACCAAAGTGGGGCGGGGGCTCCTCGAGCCCCCGGGGATGACTGTTGTCCTCTCTCCCAGCGGGTTATTTCCTCACGTGCATTGTAACTGTGGCGAGCAGACTTGTATGCGTCAGAGCTGCATCTGTGAGAATCTTGTGCAGCAGAGACTTCTGGGGTTTGCTTCTGTCAGAGCAGCAAACCCTGTGAGGGAGGCTGGAGTGGTCAGGAGGGGAGGATGAGAGCTGGCAGACCGGAAATGGCGGAGAAGATGGGAAGTGGGCTGGAACAGGCCAGGGGTGGGTTGGGGTCTGGGCGCTGAAAGCCAGTGTTTCGTCTCCTTGGTGATTGGCACCTCGCAAACGGGGTACTAGGGCCTTTTGAGGGTCGAATCCTTGGCTTTTTGTTCCCCGCCAACGGCAGCTGGTTCGCCCATCACTTTCGCGCTCAGTGCTGGGTTCTAAGAGGCTGGTCAGCCTGTGTCGCCCGGGCCAGCAGGGGTCGGGGTGGGGGAAGAGGAGCCCCACTCGCACCTTGCCCGGGCTCCTGTGCACCAAGCCAGGTCCCGATTGGGCCCGGGAGACTCGCGCATGCTCCTGGCGTGCCCGTGGCAGGGGCCTCGCCCGGCAGGTACCATGTCAGGTACCACGTGAGGCCCATGCCCGTCGGGGTGTGGGCAATGCTGCCTGCCTGGGCGGAGGAGCTGCTGGAGCCTCCCTTTGCCTCAGCGGCAAGTGCCACCTCATCTGGTGTGGGTTGGGCTGTGCCTTCGGTCCCTCAGGCTGGGCACGGGGCTCACTTCGGCCCTCTAGGAAGTAGGTTCTGTACCTGGGGCTCCGTAAGAATTAAATCAGCCAGTGTCACCCGATGCGCTCGACACAAATCAAGGAGAACTTTCCTGAGTCAAGGAAGTAGCCAGGTGCTGGGGATAGACCTGCAGGGCAAGAGCCGGCTGGAACCAGATCTGGCACGCCAGCCCAAGAGGTGACCTCGGTGAAGGAAGTAATCATTTGTAGGTGACAAGTGGAGGTGGCTGTGGCGACAGCCATGACCGTGCCAGACCCCGGGGAAAGGGAATAAAACTCGGAGGAGAGACCCAAATTTGACACCCTGGGCGATATAGTCTCACCTGACAGGTGAGAGAAATGGGAGGGGGGCAGCCGGAGGGGTCTGGCCTTTGCCTAAAGTTATCCGGTGACTTCAGGCAGAGCCTGGCTGGACCACCCCAGAATTCCCAAAATTTGCTTTGAGGTTGTAAATGTGTCACTATCATCACTGAAAGAATTAGATGCTGAAAATTGCTAACTAAAAGTTTTATTCCAAAATTAACTAAAAAAAAAAAAAACCACAGCCACGTAATCTAATGAAAGAACAAGGCAAATCAACTCTCCCCTCTCAGTAATTGAGCAAGTAAATGAAAAAGTGGGGTTGCGTGTAGAATACGATCAACCAAATTGCCTTAAGTGAAATTTATCGGAGATTCCATCCAACGGGCACTTACCAAAAAGATCATATTCTGGGCCATAAAACAAATCCCAACAAATTTTAAAGTGTTGAAATGTAATGTTCTTGAAGCACAGTGGAATTAAATTAGAAATTAATAGAGAGCTATTCATCATCAGTATTTGTGCTTGTGCATTTTTTTTTCCAGTGACGGGTAGACGAGGTCTGCTACTGATGAGGGACCACCTCCCGGGGGCTCGCTGGTGGTGGTGGGGGCTTCTCTGGCGGGTTCTCTGGGGGCTGTGAAGAAGGTGCCCCGGGCAGGTGGCCTGAGGGTTGCTCCACTTATCGCCTCCACAGAGGGAGGAGGAGCTGGAGCAGAGGGAGGGTTCTGTGGCGCCAAAATCAGAAAAGCAGAATTCGCAGCAGCCTCCAGCTCAGGCTAGGTATTCTAGGCTGACGAATCTCCCACAATATTTGCTTAATAATCATCAAGCGAAGTCCCAGGTTTGTGTGTTGGCGCGGCCTGGCCCCCGGGTGTCGGATGTCAGACAACAGGCTGTCCGCTCCAGCACCATGGCGACCGGGCGCCCTGGTCTCCACTCAGACAACCGGCCAGACTGTCGTCGCTTCCCAAGACTTGGAGTCATTTCTGACATCTCTGGAGTCTCACAAGACCACTTTGCTGAAATTGTTCCTCCAAGGGCGGATTCGTATTAGCAGAGAACAGAGCAGTCAGGAGCAGCCATGAATATTCATAGAAGCCGCACATGGAGAGAGGAACATAAATTACATCGAAACATTCTCTGTCTTGCACAATGTCAAATCAGATGCCTTGCACCCCTTTATAACACAAGACAGTAGCTTTTGATTTATAGCTGTGGGGGGTGACCGTCTTCAGTCCTTTCTGAGACTTGTTTCCTTTATTATGAAAACTTATTTTGTTTTTTTGTTTTGTTTTTGAAACCAGGCTCTGGAATGTCATTCACTAGCATCGTATGCCAAAAAACCAGACCCTGGGAGCGCAGTCCTGAAGCAAACCCCGAAGGATGGAGCTGGAAGGACTTTTATTTGCTGAGGGTAACTTAGGGTACTTTCATACCTGGCCTGGGCGCTGGGTCTTGGTCCCTCCCATGTGAACGGAGGCGTGGCTAGAGGGGTGCTGGGGAGCCTAAGAAAGGAGGATTCCTTGTGGTTACAGATGCCCAGAAGGGGACCTGGTAGAAGTTACATTCGAGTAACCTGAGAGGTGCGGCCTGCTAGTTTCTTTGCGAGATGGCAGGGGCAGTGGCAGGAGGGGACCCCCCAACACACAGGCGAGGGAGGGCGAGTGGGATGTGTGCTGGCACCTCCGCCCGGGCTGGGAAGGGGTGCTGGAGGGGTGGGGCGCAGCCCAAGGACACAGCTCGAATTTCATAGCCTCAGGGAAACCCTTCACCTCCCGGATTCCAGGTGAGACTTGGGTGTCTCCAGGCTCAGGGGAGGGCTGTCAGGGCCACGTGACCGTTCCCTGGCCTCGCTGCCCTCCGGCCTCTGGGTAAGTGCCAGGCCCAGCGCCCATGGGCCCACTGTCCACCGCGCCACCCCCACCTGCCCTGCGCCTCGGCCCTCCTGGCTGTCCCGCCCCATCCGTGTTGAGGGTTCTGAATATTCCGTCCACTTGCCATCGCCAGTGTGGGCAGGCTGCCGGGAGAGCCTCCCCTCTGTTCAGTTAAGGTGGCTCTGGTCTGCTCTGCACAGTGTTTGGGCCCACGGGCTGTTCGGGCGCTGCGGTATCCTCCTCAGCCTCTGTCCGGCGTCCACAGGCCATGCGGGGTCTCAGGCTAGGCGCTCCTGGGTGGGAGGACCCCGACATGAGAATCTAGGGGGCAGGGGAGGTCATGGCTCGGCCGTAGGGGGACGAACACGGCTCCACCGTGTGGGCTGGATCCGGCGCGAGTGGCTTTCCCGGGAGTTGGTCTGTTCCAACGCACCGCCCGCCACCGCCTGGCCTCTGTGGCCCTCTCCGCCGGCCCGTGTCGCTCAGGCCGAGAAGGGGCTCGTCCTTTGGTGAGGGGGGGTCCCAGAGAAGCCTCTGTGAGCCCGCCCGACGGCCTGTGCAGGAGTGGAGGCGTCTGGAGGACCTGGCCTGGGCCACCTGCCCCACAATGGCCCCATTACCCGAGAAGGGGCACTGGCTGCAGGACCTGAGGAGGGGGGCAGCCGGCTGTGCCCACGTGCCCTGGAGACTCCTGAGGGGTGCATGGTGGGGGAGGGTGGGTCAGGGTCAGACCCTGGACAGAAGGGTCTGGACAGAAGCCGGAGAGCATGGGTCTTCCTGAGCCTCGGATAGCGGAAGGGGCTCTGGGGTCAGAGGGCAAGGTTCTTGACAGGAAGTGCAGGCATGGGCCTCGGCCCCCTGAGAACCCCAAGAGGGTCAGCTTTCACTGGAGGGGGCCCCCGGAGTGACGTCCAGGGGAGGGCTGAGAGGGAGGCTGGTGGGCGGGAGGGCTGGAGGAGGGCAGGAAAGGGTGCAGGTGGGGGCCGGGTTGAGGAGGAGCGGGAGGCCTCAGCATGGACTACGTGGTGGGCCCTAACCCCGCCCCAGACAGCCACTGTGGTACCCCGCTGTGCCCGCCCGGAGCCGGGTCTGAGGAGGCAGAACAGAGTTGGGGTGTCTGATGACTGACTATACCCCCTTGGGCATGTCGCCATACTGTGACCCGTCATCTGAACTGGGGTGTTGGGGGGGCTACTGCCTCTTGACTATGGTGAATAATGCTGCAGTGGACTTAGGGAGCAGACGTCTTTCTAAGTCAGTATTCCCACCTTCTCCCGAGAAATGCCCAGAAGCGGGGTCACTGGGGAGTTCTCATTTTATTTTTATTATTTTTTGGAAAAGATTTATTTATGCATTCAAGAGCTGGGGTACAGGCCAGAGATGGGGGTGGTGGTGGTGAGAGGACTCACCAGAGACAGAGCGGGGAGCAAAACAGTCAGATTGACTGAAAGCCACTGCTGAGGGGAGTAGCGGGGAGACAGGACAGGTCCGCTACGCCATGTGGGTTGCTCCCTGGCCAGCCGGGGATCGAACGCGTGCTGCAGAGGCTGCAGACGCTTCATAGTGTGGTGCTTAACCCCTTGCGCCACCAGGGAGGCCCAGGAGTTCTATTTTTATTTGTTGGTGGAGGGACCCCTCGCTGAAACCGGGTCTCCTGACCCTGGTTTGGGTTCCGTGCCTCAGAATGAAGGCGCTTGCTTGGGGGGAGGAGAGCCAGGTTTCAGGACTGGGAGGCCCTGATGGCCGAGAAACCAAAACCGCCAGGGACCAGAGCACCTGAGGGCTCTGAAGCCACTGCCCAGGTCCCGGGTTGCAGGCCAGTCCCTGGGCCAGGCTGCGCCAGGGTTGCTGCCCCCGCGGGACCAGCAGGGGTCGCTGGTGACAAAGAAGCTAGGGCCTGACCTGGCTGCTGATGGGGTGCGAGGGAGTGGGGGTCGCCCAGCAGGTCAGAACTGGGAGCCAGCTGGGTTGCTGAGCACCTGGTTCTTCGTGGAGGCGGCCGGCGCTGTGGACATGCCTGCCCAGCCGGGACTCTGCAGGGAAGGCTGTGGCCAGAGGCACTGCGGCCCCTGTCAGGAGAGGATGGCTTTTTCCTCAGGTCTGTGCCACAACAAAGCACTGGGGCCAAGACGCCAGATGGTCTGAGGTCAAAGGTCAAGGTGTCAGCAGAGTTGGGTTCCTTGAGGCTGCTGCCTGGCTTGTGGGTGCTGGGGTCTCCTCTAGCGTCCTCACAGGGTCGCCCTCTGCGTGTCTGTGTGTGTCCTGGTCGCCTCTTTGTCTTTTTTTTTGTTGTTGTTGTTAAAGACTTTAAAAAAGATTTTATGCATTTGTTTATGCATACAAGAACTGGGGTACAGGCCAGAGCTGTGGTGGGGGGGGTGAGAGGATTCACCAGAGACAGAGTGGGGAGAACAGGGAGATCTGCTGAAATCCACTGCTGAGGGAGCAGCGGAGAGACAGGAGAGGTCTGCTGCGCCCTGTGGGTCAGCTCCCTGCAGGGGTGTGCCGCAGCGGCTGCGGACAGCTTCATAGTCCTGAGACTTGACCTCTGCGCCATCAGGGAGGCCTTTGATCGCCTGTTTTTTTTTTTTTTTTTAAGAGATTTATTTATTTATTCATACAAGCACTGGGTACAGTCAGAAGCGCGGGAGGGTGAGAGAATTCACCAGAGCCAGAGTGGGGAGCAGAGCAGGCAGAAGGACCGAAGGACACTGCTGAGGGAGCAGCGGGTGGCAGGAGAGGTCTGCGTGCCATGTGGGACCCTCACCGGTGGCCGGGGATCGAACCGGCGCTGCAGAGGCTGCGGGCAGCTTCGCAACCCAGTGCTCAACCGCTGCGCCACCGGGGAGGCCCTTCTCTGATGACTATTGATATTTAAAGTTTTTCATGATTTTTTAGGTATTTGTTGGGGCATACTTGTCCAGGTCTTTCGCCCCTTCTTAAAACTCAGTTGTCTCTTTTTTGTTGATTTGTAGAGTCCTTTATGTATTCTGGCTGCAAGTTAGTTGTCTGTTACACATACAGCAGGCGTCTTGAGCCACGTCTATGGCTTTGGCAGTTTTTCCTTAGTTGTCTCTGTCTCTGCTTCTCATCAGTGAAGTGGCGATAAAATCAAGACATTCCATAAGGCCTGAGGAAGTAGTATGCCAAAAGAGCTCGGAGAGATGCCCCCGTGTTCATTGCTCATTTGTTCGCCAGGTCTGGGATGGTCCAGTTAAGGTAGTGGGAACACTGGTCCTCGTCTTAAGTCTAGAAGGCCCTGAAGTTAAGAGGGAGAAACCAAGGACCTTTTGCCCGCCTCACAATGGCCTGTGCACTGTGATGTGCTGATCAAACGACTCAAAAAAAAAAGATCCCAATCTGTGGTGTTTGCCAGTCACCATGGTGTAAATACTCTCCCCGTGACCAGCTTCAAGCTCATGATGGTGTAACATCTGACTGGCACAATTCCTGAGCACGTGACCATGGGTTCTCAGGAGCCAGCGCAAAGCAACAGCATCACACTGACCCGTGGGCTGCATGGCTGTGTAGATGTGAGTCCCTTTTCCTCTTGGACCTGAGTCGCCTCTAGTTGTCCCAGTGAGGACAGAAGGTCAGCAACGAGTTCCTCAGAACTAGTTTATGGAGTATCTACTATGTGTCAGTCACTGGACTGGGCTCTGGAGATACAGCCTTGAGCAAAAACAGACAAGAAAAATGCTGCCCTAGCAAAGCTTTTGTTCTGGAAGCCAGGCGTGAGGATGGGGGAGAGACTGGAAGTAAACACGGGGACAAATAAGGGAGTCGAGTCTGCAAAACACTGACACAAAAAACTTGTGTCTGGAGGGGGAGGCTACTTTGGGAAGCGTG